TGTGGCCAGCATGACTAAGCCACTTCTGGTGAACCAGAGCAGTGCACGGAAACGCCGTTTACCTTCCCGCTGGAGTGGTACCTATTTATCTACTTGCACTTTGGCGTGCTTTCGAACTGCTAGGTTGGCAGGAGCAGGGACCGAGCAACGGGAGCTCATTCCGTTGCGGGGATTCGAACCGCCGACCTTCTGATCGGCAAGTCCTAGGCTCGGTGGTTTAACAGCACCACCCGCATCCCATAAAAGGTCCCAAATTCAATCCTTGACCTCTCCACACGGAGCTGCAAAAAAGTCTCTATCTAACTGCGGAGAGCTTCCATTAATCAGTGTAGACAATGCTAAATTATATGGACCAATGGTTGAACTGGCTGGCACAAGGCCTCTTCCTATATCTATGCCTACTTCTTTTTGCAGCCAAGCTATGCAGAAATTGCAAGCAATTTTTACACTCAGCTTGAGGACCTTATCCGGCAAACATTTATGCAAGCATTGCACACAATCCACCTCGCAGACTGTAGCCATTTTGCATATGTGAGCAAATCTAGAGATTGATAAATGTGCATTGATTGGTGGCCTCGTTATGGCCAGGCTTCTTGAAATTTAAGGAGACTGTTCTATTTGACCATAGTTCAAGACCACAGTTCACAACAAGTAAGTTAAGAGGCTTAACAAAGGTTATTAGCAGAGTAAATCCCATATAACAAGTCGATCCACGGAGGTATTAACAGTATGGATTAATAGGTAAAGCTAATGAGGTTTATTGTTAGAGGTGAAGTGGTTTAATCTTAGGGATTATTTTCGTAATTATGTGCTGGCCTTTGAACAAAGCTGTTAAATTTACCTACACAAAAGTGTTAAGAATAATTATAGAGTTTTGTATGGTTTTAATAGATACACATGAAGTGCTACAAAAAGTAAAGAGTAAAACATTGAACATTTTGATTTTGGGGGTGGGGAGAAGAGATTTGCTGCCCCATGCTCTACATGTCTGCTCAGAAGTTGGTCAGTGAGTTCAATGGGTTTTACTCCTATAGGATTGCAGCTGTAATGGATTGGATCCAAAGATGTGTGAGAGGAAGGAGAACATGGAATGGTGATGGATCTTGAATGGTCGCTTACCTGGCTCTGGGGTGGGTGGTGATTGCAGTATGTCATGGTCTTCTCCCTTCCCGCGGTTGACATCTCATTGGATATAACCCAGAATGTGGGAATGTTCAGGGTGGTAGGAGAGGATATATTGTTTATTAATATCTTTCCTAACTTGTGCTAGCAAGTTCCTTTACTTAGCAGAGTGCATACCCCTTTACACAGCAGAAAACTGATTGCAAACTCATGTGAGTTTCTTAAGACAATACACAATTCAGTCTGGCTTGTCCAGATTGAAATGTGCTCTAATATTTTCTGGTAAGATGCCCTTTTAAACCCCTCCTAAAAGAATAAAGACACCACAGTCTTATTCATAAGCAATAAAAAGAAAGTTTACTCACAATCAGGTAGAGCACAGTGTGATCCCTGAAGGCAGGCTTTAGGCTTAAAGTTTCAAACATATACAAACAGGTTTATGCCATAAGGGAGATTTACCTAGTGACTGCAAGCTAGCACTCCAGCAGTTCACAGGATGAAAAGAAGATGGAAATGAGAAAGTGGCAGCACAACTTGTCCTTTTACCAGGTCTGGAAAGGTCACACCTACCCACTAGTCACATGCAAGGAGGGATGCTCCAGGCCAGGAGGAACAGGAAGTTTTGACTTGCTGGACCAAACATTCCCTTGCATGTCCACTTTAACAAAACAAGGAATGTTGTATTTGACTGCTCCCAGTGTGTGTGTGTGTGAGAGAGAGCGAGAGAGCGAGAGAGAGAGAGAGAGATCCCATCCAGGTGCGATCACATTCAGCATTGATCTATGAAGAAACACTGCACCTCTCCTTGGTCTCTTCAGATGGAGATGGTGAACGCAATGGGTGAGATCCAAGGCTGGAAAATTGCATGATTAATGAAAAGTGAACCATATACCCATAACCAACCCTACCAGTCTGAATTGCTGAAGTGTATGGGAAATCGTGTCCTCCATCAAAGAGGGCACGTGTTGCGGTGTGACCTGGCAACCAAACCCTGTGTTGTGGGTGGGTACGATTGGATAGCCACAACACTCTATTGGTAGGTCCCTCGATGCTGGGTTTAATCAGGCCAATGGGATGCTAGCCAAACGGATCGAGGGACCTATATATGCCCATGCACGTATCCCTGAGCGTCCTCTTTGGGCCATTGCATTGGAACACCCGCCCACCTCTCCCGCCCACCTCTCCCGCTTGACCTTGCTATGCCGTCGTGTGTCGTCTGTCGTTGGGACAGGGGCACAGCAGGAATTTCCCCCACTTGGCTGATTGGCTGTTGCCATTTGGGTTTCGCCTGCCGCATAGCAAGTCGTCACAACTTGTAAGGTTGCGGATAGGCTCTGGTTCAGGTGATAGGGATGTGAGAACGCTCTCGCCATCCCTATGTGAAGGGTATTCCATTAAAGGAATCCAGGGACTCAAAATGGTTTGGTCAACCCTGAGAGGGGTTGTACCTGTGCGAGTCCAGGAGGACATCTGGGTTGTGGACTAACCTGACCATGGCTTTCCACTGTTCCAGGTGTTCACCCTAGGCTGACCTATGCTGGTGCCCTGGGTTAGTGCTACCCGCCATGGTGCAGGGAACTAGTCGAACCAGAGCCTATGCAACAACTCACTTGATGTAATCAATAAAGCTGTGGCCTAAATTCTGCCAAAAACCAAACCAAAATTTGAGTCTTGTCTGAATTTATTTAAGGGGGAGGTTAAAAGGTCCAAACACACAAGATGATTCTTCCTATCACTGTGGGCAGGGAGTGCGTTCACCACCCTCATGACAATGGCTTTGGATCCAGTCATTTAAAACATGCTCCTATTTTCTCTATCTTTAAGATTCTTGTTTCTCTCTCAGTGCTGTCTCTTGTGCACATGAGCAGAGTAATAAGAATCTTAACCTCATGATTTAAAGAGCCAGAAAAATGAGCTAAGCTCGATCTTGATCCAAAATGTCTTTTCCCCCATCAGGGCTTCTATAGAACTGACATGCTTATATGAGAAATGCCAGCCACAAAAGGAAACCAGCGCTGAATTCTGTTCTTGTATAATGAATGTGCATTTACAACACACCAAGCCAAGGCTTCATTCTTATGCAAAGAAAGAAAAACTGATTTAAAGAGTGAAAAGCTTAATTTTGCTTTTTCTTATGCTCCAGAGCAGATGTTTTTGTAGTTTTTGCCCACCCTCACCCAAACAATGAATTGCTTCATTTCAACTAGGTTTAAGGGGAATGTCTCTCCATCAGGTGTGCAAAGCTAGTATTTTTATTCCTAAAGCAATATCTATAAAAAGAAATGTGGTGTGTGTATCAGGGAAAGAGAGAGAGAGAACAAGAAAGAGAGAGAAAGAAAGTGTAAGGGGCGGTAAAATAAAGCAAAGTAATAAACTTCATTGATTTCAGTGGCTTTACTCTAGATTTATATTGTGCAACCTGGGATCAAAATCTGATTCTTGTCTCTTTTGGGACACATGAAGGGAAAATTAGTTGGATAACCTAATGATTCTCACCGTCTATCATTCAGAATACAAGATTAACCAGATCAAAGGCAATGATAGGTATACCTGGTGTAGCCTAGTGATGAAGAATTATTATAAATTGTCTTATATCTCCAGCCTCCTTGTTCCACCTGCTTGGAAAACTCACCAAGACAGCTGCTTTGAGAGGGGTATTTAGCTTTCTTGACTGAAGGGATGAGAGAATGAAAATGATTTGGTATGAGGTGCAAGCATCACTGTACCTGGAAAGATTTTCTGAGATAAAATAAAATCATATTGATTTATAACAGAGATGCAACTCTAGCAGGTCACTCAAGCAGAGAAATCTGCAGTGGCCATTTGATGAGGCAGCTTGATCTTATCATTTCTTTTTTACTGTTGCAGTGAAAATAGTAGGCATCTCTCCTACTAATATCAAACTCTGCTAGTAAGCATCACCAGGAGGGCGGGAGGAGGAATCAGCATGCTGAGATTTGCAGAAGTACATATGCACACACACACACACACACACACACACACACATATGCAACTTTCCTAAAACAACCCAATTAGTACAGGATATGCTCAGTAGTCACAAAATTGACAGCTGGAGAAGAAGCACAGAACTAGAGGGGTGTGTGGAATGCCCTGCTTAGAAGGAATGGCTGGCTGGAATCCTGACCAAGAGCCAACATTTTAGGAAGACGATACACTGCAACATTTTGTCCTGTACTTGAAGCTTTATGCTTAAGCAGAGAGGCTCTGAAGCTGTTTATTATTCCGTAGTATGACATAATTGATGGAGGACATTCCATATCGGCTAGCCAGACTCTGAGAGGGGACTTTGCTTAGAGTTTCACCAGAGACCAGTTGTTTGCTGTGTTGGGATGTGCTTTTTGGTGACTGCACTCCTGCTCTGGAACTCCTTCCCAATAGAAGTGCAGATTGCAGTATAATTTATGACACTTCTGTTGCTTAGTTGAAACCCACAATTTTTCCCAGGCCTCAGATCTCCCAGGGATCTAATTTGTCTGCCCAACTGGTTTATTGTATTGATTAGATTTTGAGTGCATTTTAGTTCTAATATTTGCATTGATTATTATTATTATTATTATTGGAAATTGCTCAGAATTGTCTCTCATGGGTAATTTTCATCAACTAGCATGGCCAAAGGTCAGGAATGGTAAGAGCTGTAATTAAGAAATGTCCTGTGGGCTAAAAGTTTATTATATATAGATATAGATATCATTATTCATTTAAGAGAATGGAGTGCTTTGCAACAATCATACATAACACCATTCAGCAAAAGCCATATAAAAATCAGAGGTTGACTATTTCATAGAATTACTGAATTGTAGAGTTTGAAGAGAGCATGAGGACCATCTGGTCCAGCTCTCTGCAATGCAGGAATCTTTTGCCCAACGTGGAGCTCAAACCCACAAACTTGAATTGAGAGTCTCATGCACTACCAACTGAGCTATCTCAGCTCACAAATTTTAGAAATGTAGAGTTGGAACGGACCCTGAGAATCATCTATGCCAACCCCCCCGCAATGCAGGAATATGTAGCCGTCCCATACAGGGATTGAACCTGCAACCATGGTTTTATCAGCACCATGCTCTAACCACTGAGCAAACTAGGTTCAGAAGGATATTTTCTTAATTGCCAATATAAGCTTCATGGAATACAGGTTTTTCATCCCTGGACTATTGTATATTATTGTGTCCTGTTGTGTTTACGTTACACTCTATTTGATTCATTGAGTAATGTTTCCATTGAGTAATTTTTCTAAGTGATAATACCAGAAGATAGCAACAACAACAGCATCAGCACCCTTACCACTCCTTCTATAGATCTTCAGAAATAAGGGACAGCCCTTGGCTGATCACTAATAATAATATGAATATTTCACAGAATCCCCATGAATTTCTTTCAAACATTAAAAAAGAAAGATGGCATTTTTTGTGTACCTTTAATTCACTTTTTAAAAATTCTGTTTTGTTTTCCTTGGGAAATGAAGCTGGTAGAAAAGAACAGATCTTGTATTCCTGACACAACTACTCAATTTTGCTTCCTTTTAATGTACGCCTGCCCCTGTGTGGAGTGTGCTATGTGATAACATCTGCAAATGAATTACATTAATGCAGAGATGACTTCTAGATTATCATAGTAAAAAAAAAAATGTTCTATAGATGGAAAATGGGGTGGGAGAAAAGCTTTGTCAGAGTACAAAAAGAAATGATTGCTCATCTCTAAGCTGGGAGTATGAAATGAATACATTTATAAGCAGGGCTGAGCTTGAGGCCACTATTATTCTCAATTATTTCTCTATTCATATAAAAAAATCACAATGGGTGAACTCAAAGCAATAATTAGGAAACTCACTCCTGCATGCCTGAACATAAGAAATTAATCTCTCTTTCCATCAGTCATTCGGGGTAAAATTGCAGTCCTCTGCTGAAGCCAGTGCAAGCATATCTGTGGCTTCCCGTTATTTTTATATGCTTATTAGTTCGAATAGACTTTTATTCCATTGAGCTGGCTTCTGCTTGTGGGAGGTGTCTCCCCCTCATGGATGAGCTATTTTACACCTTGCTCAGCCACACCGTTCGAGAAGAGTGAAACCAAGGCGTCAATCCCACTTACTTGGGAGTAAGCCCTATATATATTTCATTTTATTGGAAGCATGCTTACTCTACACTTTAACCCCAAAGGCTTCAGAACTTTCTGACAGTAAAAGCAGTTGGACAGTGGAACAGACTCCCGTGAGAGGTGGCAGGTTCTTCTTCCTTGGATGTTTTAAAGCAAAGGTTGGATAGCCACCTGTCATCTAGTTGAGATTCCTGCCTACAGGGGATTAGACTAGGTGATCCTTGGGGTCCCTTCCAACTCTACAATTCTATGTGTCTGCTTCCCAGCAGGTGCTATAGGATTGGTCTGCACCCCTTTTGCACCAGTGGAAGCCCAGAACCATCTTGGTTTTGCACTGTGCAAGGACTCTTGAAGTGCTTGCACTGATTTGGGAAACATATATTTGGCTGAATAATATTCCCATTCAAAATACTCTCCCCTTGAAGATCACACAGGGCCCCATCGTTCTGCCCGGACACTGATGTCCAGCTCAGAGGGCCTTCTGGCAGTTCCCTCATTGTGAGAAGCAAAGCTACAGGGAACCAGGCAGAGGGCCTTCTCGGTAATGGCGCCCGCCCTGTGGAACGCCCTCCTGTCAGATGTCAAAGAGATAAACAACTACCTGACATTTAGAAGACATCTGAAGGCAGCCCTGTTTAGGGAAGTTTTTAATGTGTGACATTTTAATGTATTTTTAATCTTTGTTGGAAGCTGCCCAGAGTGGCTGGGGAGGCCCAGCCAGATGGGTGGGGTACAAATAATAAATTCTTCTTCTTCTTCTTCTTCTTCTTCTTCTTCTTCTTCTTCTTCTTCTTCTTCTTCTTCTTCTTCCCACCACAGCAACATGCAACTTTCTTTCCCCAATCATCTTTGACATCATCTTCCCTTTCACATCTTTGTTGGCAGTCCAGTACACCAGTGGCCCCTCCAGACTTCCGTTCTATCACACATTCATTATGGTTTGTGCTCATTCATTATGATTTGTATCTGGGTGGTCACACATGATATCAAAATTGATATCATGTGTGACCACCCAGATACAAATCATAATGAATGTGTGATAGAACGGATGTACCTGCAAATGTTTTGCGGCCCAGTCACACTGCACCATTCCTAATTAGTGCATATGCTCTAACTTCCTGCTGAAATCCTGTCACTTTTTTCACCACCAATTTGTTTTATTTTGTCCTGCTTTGTTGTGCGAGAGCCTCTCTGGACAGTCATTCTGCGGTAGCATGGGGAAAGTATTGAGGAAAATCTTAAAGTGCAGAATAAATCCGCCGCTAATACACTATTATTCTGTCAAGAACATGTTGCCTGAGAGAAAAGCACATTAAATTAACTCAAAGAAAAACTGAGAGTTGGATATTTCCTTCTTCTTAACATTGAGAGAGCTTTACAGCTGGTGTGGTATAGTAGTTAGAATGTCAGACAAGAGCATGGGAGACCAGGGTTCAGATCTGTACACAGCCTGAAGCTCACTGGGTGACCTTGGGCCAGCCACTGAATCTCAGCCAAACCTACTTCACAGGGTTGTTGTGTCAGGAGAACTATGTACACCATCTTGAACTTGGAGAAAAGGTGAGATATGAATGCAATAAAAGAAAATTATTTAAAGGGTGTCTGTCAGCACTGTGAAGGGGAGAAATGTGATTTCTCCACTACCACTAATACCACAGTGGACTAAGGCATTCTTGAATATATTGCATGTTCCAGAAACAAACTGGACAACTTGAAATTCAGTTTATAGCTCTACATGGAGGTCTTGTGAGGCAGTGGTAATTGTCCATGGCTGCCCATTCCATTGAGAAAGTATGTCAATATCCTTTTGACTCATTTCCTTACGTGCAGTAATTAAATGCTTGCTGTCTGGAACTCAGGCATTGTTCTTGTCTGGTGAAAGTTGATCAACATAAATAGAATGGACAATTTTTATGGTGTGGGCATTAAATGCTTACCCATTAATTTTGTTTGTGTGTGTGATAGGAATAGCACCAGAGTGTCTTAGCATACCATTTTGTCCTTGCTCACCAATCAGCAAAGGAAGAAAACAGAAATTACTGGCTTGGTAGGCATTTTTTTCTATAGGATTTGGGGGAAAGCCCATTATCTTAGGATTTATAATGTAAATACAGGGATTTCAGATGATGGTTTTTCATGGCCAAAAGGGGTTGCAAAAAGATCCATGGCTTTCATTTCAGCAGGGCCAAACCATACATAATATGGAAGATCCATGATTACATCTCCCTGTGGTAGTCTTGCTTTCAAACAAATCTATTTTTATAATTGTAACAAAAGGAAAAAAGAAACACCGTCATCTCACTTTGCAATAAAGATAACTCAGAATTAAAGATCAATCCAGAATTAAAGATATATATGTTTATGCAGCCCATATGTCCAAATGCTATCCAAATGGGGCTGACAATTCTAAGATATACGTTCAAACATAGAAAGAGCAAGGAGCTCTTCAGATTGCTGAAAAGTGGGTGTTTATCCTTCCAGCCGTGAAGCATAAGTCTCTTCGCAATCATAAGGCTTTGTAGGATCCACTTTCGTTATCCATTTGTTAATCCCCACACCACAGGAATATGATTTAGAAGTAGGCGAACATCTGAAAATATCAAGGATTTCCCCAAAATAAACACTGAGGGGGACTGACATAGTCAAGGAGAGTTGTTTGCCAAATTCAGCATCAATATACACTATGCTGGTCACAGACAGAAACAGCTGGGGGAGGGTGGGACCCCCATACCCATCAGGTGCATTCAAGCCTGTGTAATCCAGAGGACGGTACTGAGAGAGAGACGCATTAAGAGAATCAGCCTGGACACACAGATGACTTTCCACAGTCTTTGCAGTGAGTTATGGAAGCGTTAGGGTAGAGACAATAGATGTGGAAACTCACAACACAGTCTGCTGTAAATTGGTGTGACAATTAATGGGCCAGTTTATACTCTATTGTGTGACATAAAACAATGTTTCACTGTCTGTTGAACTGGAAGTTTAACTATAAAAAGAGGGGAATGTGTTGCACAGTTAGGAACATCTTTGTGTATGGTAACAGGTTTTAGTTGACAATGACAGCTTTACGTTGTCTATTATTCACTTCCTCTACCCTATACATTTTTTATTCCCTTGGTGTAACAAGAACCCTTAATCTTTCATCTGATGAACTGAAGTGAAAAATTTCTTATCTAATGATGCTAAGAAGGGACCCAATTACCCATTACTTCTCTCACACACTGCACAATGGAGACTCTGCAGATTGTGTAAAACCTTCTGATAACGTTTAGCACTTTTCAGAACATCTGCCAAGTTCAAAGCACTGGAAAAAAAAAAAACCAGCCCTCTATAATCCTCTGCTAAGAACTGGGGAAATAGTGTTCCCATTTCCAAATGGAGAAGCCAAATAAGAGAAATGCCATCCTGCCATAGGGCATATGCCCTCCATCTCAAAATGTAAGACCTCTTTAGGTTAGTCTTTATTTCCAGAAAACACTGGGTTACTATCAGGTAGAAGCTGATTTTTTAAATGAAACTGACCCTTCACATCAGCACTGAAACCAAACCAAACCAAACCAAACCAAACCAAACCAAACCAAACCAAACCAAACCAAACCAAACCAAACCACCTTGTTCATCCTTATGTCTCCCATTTTCATATCAAAAGCAAATATTCACAAACTATTATATTTGTTTCCAGAAAGGTAGTCATGTTATCTGTTGCACCACAAATAACAAAGAAACAATGCACCTGATAGACTGGGCAGTCCTCCTCAAAAGCTACTGTCATGATTAAGATGCTGAAGAAGACACTTCGTTATAATATTTTTAAATCCCATTTTCCACCGAGGAC